TCACCGGCGTCCACTAATGGTCTTCCTTCAATAGGCGAAGACTAACCATCTCTTTACAATGCTTTCTCCTTTTCATGGGTTTAGGAGATAACCTTTACAAGCCTCACACCTCTCTTGAATGATCACAACACTAGAAAGAGAGGAGGAGGACTCTTTTCACTTTTACAACACTTTTAACACCTCAATAATTCAATATTTTGTTCATACTTTCGTTCCTTTTAATACAGAAAAGGGTGGGATGTTTATAGGCCTCAATGACTTTAGAATTGGAGCCAAAAAGTATTATATCTCTGGATTTCGGGGTACTAGTGGTACCACCGTCATTATTGGGCGGTACTACTACTTGCAGACTGACACTGGGTAGTACCATTACTTGACAGAACTTCGAAGACTGAGCTCCGATGATACTACTACCTGACAGCATTTACTGTCAGTGGTACCACCGCCCAGACCACCTGGGAGACTAGGTCAATATGCGATGCCACCATCGGCTATGACTTCAGGTGCTGAATGGGCTGCTCAACTAGCCCAATTCAACCCTGTTAAGGGCCCAGATGACCCCTAACTGAGTTAGTGGGATTACCTACCAATCATAACTCAACTTAAGGTCTAACTATGATATTTAAGATATTTAAACAAGAAAACGTTGTCTGGTATATCGATTGTTCTTTTGGCGAGCTTCCGGTGATCTTCTAGTGAACTTCCAACGATCTTTCGGTAATGTTCCAGCGGACTCTCGGCAATCTCTTGGATTTTATGATGATCTTTTTGGTGAGTTCTGATGAGCTTCTTTGGCAAGCTCTTGGACTTCTCAGTCAATTTTGACAGAACTTCCGACGAACTCTCAAACTTCCAATGAAGTCTCGATCTCGACTCCAGCGCAACATCTGCTTCATGTCTTACCGCTATCATAGTTAATTTTGCTGTATACTTTTCTCAACATATGGATTAGATCAAATAATTTATCAATTAATTTCATCTTTAAAATATGAGATTCAACGCCTACCAAGGAAGGTGAGAATGCTTCGATTTTAGTTATTTGAAAGTTAATAGCATAGTTATCATTACGTAAAACTCTATAACTATTTGAAGGCTTGATGGGGCAATGCAAAATTCTAGTGACCTGGGACAAACTGATGGCTAGTTAATATAAATTAAATTCTGATGGGTCATTCAATACGTAGGAGGAAACAAGAGGGGCCAAATTCCTTATCAGATCCAATGATAACAAATGTGTCATAGCAGGTTGCCAGATGCTGATTGCTAATCAAATTGGGGATGAAACCTGCGATCAAAATTGGTATTATCCAGCTTCAAGTTGAGTCTGATGCTGAGACAATTCTAAGGATCCTCAACAAGGAGGAGACCACACTTTAGAGGTTAACTAACTGTGTGTGATATGTTTTGATGCTTTTTTTTTTCTATTTTATGACACGTAAATTCTATCATGTCTTCAAGGAGGGAAATAAGAGTATTAATTGATTAGCACATTTTGTACTTTCCTCAAAATCTTTTTATATTTAAAGGGACAACTGGCTGAAGGACTTGCCTATTTTTTGTGCTCCGATGAGTATGGAGTAGTCTATACTAGAATTTTAAAGTAATAGATCTTACACTTGCGTTTTTTTTTTAAATGTAAATAGTTGCGAGAACACAAGTTCCTCTCTTCTCCATTAGGGCACTACTCTTCTATTATTCATCTTAATATTGTTCTTGCTATTCCGCTTCATAGTAGTCCCAGCACCTAGGAAGGCTTGTTCTGAAGAGTCCATGAGATAAAATCTGAAAAATTTTCTACAAGTCTCAAAGACAAATCTCAGCCAAATTTAGTATTCTTCTAACTGAGAATTAGTGCTGGATTTGAAGAAGCATGATATTGTAAAACAGTCTTGGATACATAGTTTATGTGGTTAATTCTTTGGTAGGACTCGTTTTGATTTTGTTTTCAATTTGAGTTGCCTAAAAAGTGAGGAATATATTTTGCCTGCTTCATTGTGAATTTGCTTTTGTATTCTTCTGTTTTAGATTGTTAGCTGAGGAAGAGAAAATTAAAGTCTTCACTAGAGGTCCTTAGTCCTTAAAGGGTCAGACTCTATCCATGGTTCCTTAGAGACTAATCTTTTAGTTATAAAGGTATAGTTCTAGGTTGACCATTAGAACTTTTTAATTCTAGTATCCTCCTTCAAATTATTCTTATTTTAGGAAAACATGTAAAATTTTTTAACATTATCATGGCTGGTGTTTTTATTCTCATGCAATTCTCCAAACCATTGCATGGTTGATTTTTCCTAGTTGTTCCAAATCGTGGCTTATAAAAATCTTCTAAATTTATGTTTTAATTATGGTATGGTTGGGCATAGATCAGACCAATGTTGAGGAATGAGCCTGATAACAATCCCAAACATATAGATGAACAGATGAAGACTTCAAATTAGGTATTTAAACAAGAAGATGATTCCTTGTATAGGCCTTGGATTAATGTTGGAAGGCACAATTGAACCAAGCATCCATTAAACCACTTGAACCCAGAAAAGAAAGGCAACAATCCTTCACATCATATCGTGGTGGCAGTATCCAAATCAAAAATTTGGTTAACTAAGTTGGCTATGTAGCTGGACCTCAGGAGGCATTCAAACTTGCTAACATAGAGGAAGCATGATTAACTCTTAATGCTGACAAGACCTTCAAGTTATGCATACTCTAGTCTCCTACTATCCAAAGATATCTTCCTTGCAGTAGCAGGAAATAACATCCATTCATGAGAGGCTTAAGGAGGTCATTGTGCCAGCAACAAGTTATTAATGTTGAAAACCAGTAGGGTGTCATGTAAACATCAAGAAAAGAATAGAGAAAAACAAATTAAGGTTTCCTCCTTGTGTTACCTTTAGTTTGTCTTTTCTAGTGATACATGCGATAGAAGGAACTCTCCCATCGAGAGGAGTTTCCAATTCAAAGCAACAATGGACTATTGTTAGGATATATCAGATAACTTTGAGAAGCCAGTGTTGTGGGTGTTGATGGCTTTTTTTTGAGTGGTCAAAGATGATCTTGAGTGGGGTAAGAAAGAGAAAAAGGATGATTGATGGAGGAAATCATTCATCAACACTAGTGATGGGCATTCTGGAGACGAGGTCTGGGTCGGTCTCACGTGTGAGGAGGGCAAGCGATGGGTTATTTGGTTTGATCAAACTAACATTATGCTTAGTTAGATTAAATGAGTATCAATTTAGGCATATCACCTAAGCTTAGGCATGCGTATAAGCTGTGCCCAATTATAAGACCTCACCTAGTCCATCATCCCAATGCCTAGGCGATCGTCTAAGCATCCAATAAGATAATGCATTAGTAAGAGTCTTATATATTAAATTTGCTCATAGACTAACATTTTTACATATAAGATTCTCTCTCATAATATACGATAATGAATTATTGAAGCAGTTCCATACGACTAATTTATGTTGTTGAGTATTCTTTAAAGAGGTGGGTGGTGACTTATGTCTTCTTAGATTTATTTTTTTAGTTAATCAGAGATAATATGAATGATTAGAAAATAAGGATAAATTCAAGCTCAACATTCCTTGTTTTAGAAACAAAGGTTAAGATGTAGTGTGTGTTGTATCTTCTTACTACCATTTACTAACTTGAGTTGATGTTCACTTGCTTGTAACTTTAACTTGCAAGTCAGTCCTAATGTTACCCTAGATAATTTATTGTGATTGTTTTGCTTTCTTGCAGCTATACAATATGTACAGTTACTACCATTAAGGCATGGTTGCTGGTTTTCTTGTACAGTGAGATTACTTTAGACAATCAATCATAGTGAGATTACATGGAGTGCCATCTTCGTCTCTTTCTTGGCTACCTTTCTTAACCTAGAAGAAGAAGAATGTTGGATTCGACCATATCTTCTTTGTGAGGAGTCCCTTTCTGCTTCACTCTCCTCTTATTGTTAAGTTTTATTTCTTTGCACTGCGTTGGAGCTCATCATGGCATTTCAAAGTGTTCTGTTGCATTCCTTACAATAAATAGATTATGGCGAAGCCTGCTTCAAACATTTGAATCGATCTCTCGAATAACATATCCAATGAGAACAAATTTTGTTGATGTCCTTGTCTGCTGATATCAGCCTCTGTTCCAACTTCATGTCATCCTCTTAATCAACCTCTCTTGGTGGATCTGATGGAGAAGAATCAAGAAGAAATGGATCAGTGTTTCCTCTCTGGTTCGTATTGGCCGGTGACAATCATTTTTATTTGTTGGCATATAAATCACTTGTATGCACAGAGAGAGCGACACATGAAATCACTTGCAAGGCTGAGGAGTTTTCTCTATGCTCGCCATGACAAGCATGAAATACCGAGAACTGAATGAGAGGCTAAAGAAGGCTGAGGAGTCCAAAGTGGCATGGCAAAGGATCGCAAGGAAGAAGGAAGCCAAGGTTTCGTCACTTGGAAGCGCAGTCGAGCGAACACGACGACCTGAATTCTCCTCCACGAAGCAGGCCACGGTAGGTGGTGGAGATTACTATATTTCTCTTTCTTCGAGGAGGGGAAGAAGAGAAGAAGAGCTGTGAGGCGACGCTGATTGGATCTTTTTCCCTTGCAAGTGTTGTGGTTCTCGTCATATATGCAAGTATTTTGATTATGGGGGGATGGATATATATATATGCTAAATTTAAATTTAAATTTAAATTTAAAAGGATAAATACACAAATTCACTTATTTTTGAGGATTATCACAACTGTTGTTGTATTCATATGCTTTTTTGCTTGTTGCATTGTGTGATCTTATGGAGCCCAACTTATTAATTTGAGCTCATCAAGGCATTTAATTGAAGCCCAACCCGACAGCAGATATGGTTCGATCAAACCAAGAGTGGTCCATTCTATACGCGAGCGGCCTGATCCAACATGGATCGATCCACGGTTCAGCTTACCTAACTCTGCTCCTCAGGAGCACCGACTCTCTAACGTAGCTGCCTTCTCCCCCCGCGTTCGAAACCAAACGCCACAACCCGATCGAAAACAGACTTCTTCTCTTACATCGTTGGTTTCTTCCACCACTCCGATCGATCCAACGCCGCCGTTTCAATCTCCTCTTCGATCGCCTGTGATCGCTTTGATCGGCAGAGCACCGGCCGGCGGCGATGCAGCACGGCAGCGATTACAGCTCGTACTACGCCCCCCAGTCCCCGCCTCCCCCCACCAATCCCAGTTCTGTCCCCGCCGAATTACCTCCGTCCACCCCGATCCAGCAATTGTACGCCTCGGCGCCGCCGTACTCCACCGATTTCCCGCTCGCCGCTGCCCCCGGCCCCGCCCCATCCTCCTACGCCCCCTTTTCCCAGAATCCGGAGCCCGCTTCCTGTCTACCCCCTTCGGTGCCGTCCTACGGTCAACCCCAATCCCAGTTACCTCCCCAATTTCCCTCATTTCCACCTTACAATTCGTCGTCCTACCCGCCGGAGACATCGCCATCGCCAACGGCATCGCTGTATCCTCATCAGCAGCCCTCTTCAGTTCCATATTATCCCTACGATCCCAATCAGCTGGCCACCGGGAGTCATGCCTCACCTATGAACCCAATCTCCGTGCCCACGTCTTCCCCCAACCCAAGCTCCTCCTTGTCCTCTCCTTACACTTCTTATAACGTTTCTCAACAGAGCTCTGCCATGATGCCTGAACAAGAGGCACAGTACTTCAATGACAATTCTGGGAGGTATGGTGCGAGTATGAACGATGGGTATGGGCACAGCCGATCCGGTTTCGGTCAGGAGTTCCATGAGAAAAATCTTTATGCTGGGATGCACTACGATGAGTTTGGTCCGCAGGATGATGGGCTTGGTGATGGCGTGTACCAGTATGATGGGGGGAGATCGGAACCATATGGTTCTCGTGGGACGGTACCCACTAGGTCGCCGACCCTCTTTGATGATTACGGGAGGTCAGTAAGCTTCCCTTCGGTTGGGAATAACCAAGGAGGAAGCGTTGGGAAAATCGTCAGAGCAGTGCCAAAGGAGGACATGCAGCCGGATGTGAATAATGGGCAGAAGTTCAGGGTGAAGCTGTTGCTTGAAGGGGGAGGACAGAACACTACGGACGTACTTTGCCAGGTTTGGTATCAAGAAATGACATTTTTACTGTTTAGTACCTCGTCAATTTACATCTTCAGGAGCAATGCTTAGCTTTATGATGAATTAGAAAAATTCCATCAATAAACATGTCAATTGTTCTTTATAATTTTCAAATCTGCAGTCTTTTTTCAGTTGTTGTTGATGTAATTTATTATGCATATTAGGTATTCAACCATGTTTTTTTAGGAAATATCATCTGAAGATTCAAGCAGTGAGTCTACTGTTTGTGGATTATTGATCCTGTTTAGGTTAGGTTCAACAAAATAAATAGATGATTACTAATACATGGCTAGATGTTGGGAAGAATTGGTCCTACTATTTTGTTCGAAGTATGATCTTCCAGTTAGGATTTTGATTTTTTTTGGAAATGACCTCAAGCCCCTTTATCATCAACAAACTGATCTTGAAATTCATTTCTCCCCATGAATTACATTTTGATTTTAATAACACATGGAAGGTCTTAAAGTGATTTTGGAATCTTGCAAATGTGGCAACTTGGTCATGCTACAGTGAAAAGTAAGTACCTGACGATTTTTGGCTGAATATTGAAGAAAAATCAATTTGGTTGATTTGTTAAAGCAGGTTGGACTAGATAGATGTGCTTAATTATAAGCAAAGATTAAGATCCCCCAGTTTGCACCCAAATGACATTGATTGCCAAAGCATGTAGAATGCAAGTGTATCATCTACCATACATTGCCTATAACGACAGTTTTGCATCATCATAAAATATGAACAAGTTCAAATTGTGGGATTAACAAGACCAAATTATGGGTTTAACAAGTTGCTAGGCCTTTCTATTCATTAGTATCTGTGGGGTTGAAATGGATGAAAAAAGAAAATGGATCAGATGACCAATCCATAATGCTTGCAATATACTGACACATGATTTTTTTCTTACGTCTTTGTATGAATTAATATAGAACCCTTTTCGTGATGCATACAGATTGATCTCTCTTGACATATGCATCCAAATGATTCTTTTTTTTCTTTTCACATTTTCCCTTTGTCCAATCTTTTTAAAGAGTTGATGTTCAGCAATTATTGCCTTGTTATACATTCAGACAACATGCTGATTTTCATGATAGACAATTCTGACTTGAATGTTTCACCACTCTCTGACCTTTCTTGGGAAGATATTTTTAGTCGATTGGCCCTCTGTTCAAGCACCTAAAAGTGGTTTTATTTTGCTATTATTCCTCTTATGCATTTTTGATAATTTGGTGATCTCCAAAAGAGATGATTTGATCAGTTTCTTATGTTTCATTTCTTTGAGAAGGTGCAACTTTTGTTTTCTTCATTACATACAATAAAACATATTAGGACTTCTAAATTTCATATGGGATATTTGGGAGGTGCATATTGATTTTTTGTTGGGACCACTACATTTTTCTTCCAAAAGCTAGTGGTTGATCAGTTTCTTTAACACATTTATCTCAGTACTTCTATAAATTGATTATTTAGAAGATGTCAAAGTCAAAGATAGCCAAACGATTATTTTAGTTTATCATTTGCTCTCCCTGACTTTCCTCAATGAAATGGTTCCTAGATGGAGTTCTTAGTGGTCAATTAAGCTTGATATGGTAAATATGCAGCTGATTCTTGTATTAGGCCTCTAACTAAGGTGATTTCCTTTAGTTTAAGAATCCATATTGGGTTTTTTAGTACTTTGTCAAGCCTGTTTGAAAATATATGGAACTGGTTTCTACCGGAATTTTAGCTATTAAAGTAAGCAACGTGAACACACTTTGTCTTTGGGTTGAACATCTTATCTTCTTCTCCGTTTTTTATTTATTCTGTTTCTCTGTAATATTTTCTCCCAATTAAAATTTTCAATTTTGCTATAGCATCCAATTTTGTTGTGTTCTTGTATGCAATTCATATTGCTTGCACGAATTGGACTGAGACCCACCTTTTATCCTAATAGCATCTTTACATCAACTCAAGATTTAGGTCATTTGCTGACCTAGCAAAACCATGAGTGGAGAAAGAGAGATCTGGAACCTATTCATTCTTAAAAGAGACCACTGAGGCACTAACCATGGGTCTAGATGTTAGAGTCAGTTTACCTAGGTCTGAATGCAACTGGCATGGGTCATGGATTGACACTACTTATTGTTGTTTCTAGTATTTTAATTGCATTAAATTATTATGTTTGGAGGACATATAAGGACTAGTTTAGGGTGTGATCTGGTCAAAGACATGACTGAAAATTAATCTAAAATTTGGGTATCATGTTGTGTCAAATGTGTATTCAGATACTTGTGTTAACCTCCATGTTGTTGCATATTTTTGTGTCACAGATTGGATTGGATGGGATTCGCATGCTTGACCCAAGCACTAATAGGACATTGAGAATCTACCCTCTTGAGACTGTGACAAGATGGGAAGTAAGTTTTTCAGATTACGCTAGGTACTCAGGATTTAATTTGCTTCCAATAAATCATAATATGTTTCTTAACATATCTGGAAAATGTCATGTATGTTTAATCTAGGTATTGGATTCATCTACATTTGCCTTTTGGTCCAAGAGCTTTGTTGACATCGATCCAAGGCGCATAAGGCTTCAGTCAAACAGCTACACCACAAACACCATACTTGACACAGTGACAGCTGCTACAGTGCAGGTAGGCACTCAACTAGCTTTTTTCCTCTTAATTTGAATGTTCTAAGAGTTTTCTAGTTGTTTTATTTTGAGAGGTTATTCTACTGATTTTCGTGAATTGGTGTCTGTTGTAAATTGATAAAAACTTGTTAATATATAATTTAGATAGTAAGTTATTCTCAGTTATTAGACCATAACTATTAGCCTTTTGTTGATTGGCGTATCTGAAGTTTATACCAAAGATCATTAGTGTTTTGTTGATATTTTTTTATACTCACTATAGAGTTTGTATGGCAGATTGAATTCAGGTTATATGTAGTAGTTGATCATCAGTTACAGACTGATTTTCCTCTTAGAAAGTAGTGTACGCCACATTAGATGTAAAGGATGAATTTTGTTGTTTCACATAGTATCTGTGGTTAAGAAATTTTAGTTTCTGTTCATTTTTTAAATGATTTGGATCTGTTTTGATGTTATTAGATGAACTACATTATTCACTGTTAGTGCTATCATTTTGGATATACTCTAGCTTACTATCTGGGCATGGTGGTTAGTGATTGTCAAGTTTTAACATGACTTGGAACCAAATATTGAATACCACCTCTAAGATTTGGTTGAGGCCTTAAGGTCTCTTATTTGTTGTTTTATTCTTGGTTTATCTGGGTAATATGATGGTCAATAACATGGGTTTTGCATTCTGGCGTCCAATATTCACATGGTATCAATATAAATTTGCTGGAATAAATTTCTTTCAAGCAAATTGTTATGATTACACTTGTGCAAAGCAGTCTGTTGAGAATTTATTGAAATGACACATATTGCAATATCTTCAGAAAACTGCAATTTTGAATAGCGTATCTTGTTGAGTAGCTTCTTTTTGGGATAACTAGTCCATCAAATCATTAGAAAAAAGAAAATCAGTAAAAAAGTAATCTAGTGCAAAAGAAAAAGTAGAAAAAAAATCTGCAAAAGAAAAAAGTTAATCTAGTGCACGAGACTCCGACCAATATAGGCTCTTGGAAGGATCAATGTACACAGTACACACTATTATCTCTATTAATAGAGAGACTATTTATGTGTTTTGAATCTGGTCATTCTGGTCACAAAGGATCAACCTTACTGTTATAACAACTATCAAGGTCTGCACTCTTATGACATCAGAAAAAATATAAAAGGAAGAAGAAAAAACAACAATTAGAATAAGAAGAATAAACAGCCTTTGATTTCATGCTTTCACCCTTTTGACATCTTCCCTAACCACAGCAGCATCTAATACCTTCCACTGAAGCAGCAAAATTCCACTCCCTTCACAAAGTCTATACACCTGCTGCCAAGGGAGAATTCAAAGCCGTTTGGATCAACTCATGAACCATACTATTTTATGAGTTCCACAGATGAACAAGCGACTTGGCTATATTAGTGAGATTAATAAAAACCTCTCCATGCATGTAGCATTACAGATCAAATGATCAGCAGTTTCCTCACCATTATCACACATAAAACTATGGAAACTCTAGAGGAGAGTCTGTTATGAATAGCAACCAGAGAAACCTATTGATCTTGTGGGTAGCACAAGTCTTCCAATTTTTCATTGCAATGGTACTTCTACCCTCAATCCAAGATTATATAAAAGCAAAATATTGACAATTTTGACATATTCGCCAGTCTCCATATCAAATCTACAAAACCAGTAAATGAACACATATCCAGAGACTCTGAAAGATTTAGGAGCTGCAACTGACAATCATTAAATAAGTTTTCTCCAATCAGAATTATTAAACTGTTAAAATTTGGCTTCTTTTCCATTCAATTAAAAAAAATCAGAAAATTCAATCATTGTGACTGTCCAAAATCATCTGGCCAAGCCAACACTTCACAATCATTCTATTGCCATGTCAAAGCTTCTTCCAACCTCAATCCATCCAAGGAACATTCTGTCCAAAGGAAATCCTTGCAGTTCCTCATATGATTGAATGACTGTTTTTTTATGCAGTAAACCCCCATATTAAGCTCCGCCAAGGGACATTATCTCTGTTGGAAACAAAAAAATCATGACCGATATTGAAACATTTAGATTCAAGATTCCAAGATCTTTAAAACTATTTAGTTAACATGCCACATACCAGTTTACTTGAACCCATTCACGCATGAAGTTCAATCCCTTCTCCAGAAGAAAGCCTGTCTTATCCTCTTATATTTTTTTTTGCCAATCATGAAGTACCCTAAAGGATTGGAATGTATTGCAGCATCTTAGAAATTAGCATGAGTCACTAAGATCAATCTTCCTCTTGCAAATAAATAATTTACTCTCCAAGAGACAAGCCCCTTCTCTTTTGATCAGTGGATCAGTAGGGACTAATCATTTGCTCACGAGATATGAGACATCTGGTCTAAGGGTAAACCCTATGTATCTGAGAGGAAAATTAGAAATTTTGTCGTTCAGTATATTGGCAGATTTGCGATAATTTAAATTTTCAAGACCCAACATCACTATCTATTTTTCGACCAGATACTCTAAAATCATACAGTACTTTCAGATTTACCAATTATTGTTCTTTGATCTCACAAAACACATAGAATCATCCTCTTATTTCAGGTTGATCATGTTACTAGAGGATCTGCACGGCCCAAACTTATCTGACCTTGCCTAATCTTAGTATTGTGCAAAACATGTCAAGCTCAAGAAGAAACAACAGAAAGATCAGTTCTTCATGGCAAACCATTAATCCTTATTTTGTTAGATGAGTAGCTTCTCTTTTGAATGTAGATAACTTTCTTGAACTCCTTGAATTACTGGTCAAATTCCTGCTACAGGCATTAATTAGATATTTGGACATCTTCTGACACTATAAATCATTACAGTGTCTGTAACTGTAAATAAATTTTCTCTCAATATGTCACTCAAACTTCTTAGCTCTTTTGTTTCGTTTTTTGGCTGTAAGCTTTACATGTTTCCATAGTATCTTTTTATGTATTTCAATGTCATTTGTGCAAATATGTTTTTTGTTTACAAATTAATTAATGTGACAAAAAATTGTAGCTTAAGGAGATGGGTGGAAATGGTAGCCTAACCAGAGGCGAAGAAGCTGCTGATGCTAGCAAGGTATCTGATCAATCAGCTGAAAGGAAAAAAAGTTTGGTGAACTGGATGAACTTGATTAAACCTGCTAATGAGGAGAAAGATCACTGGGTAAGTTTAGATGCTTTTTCTTTGGTTATTAAAGAATTTTTTCAACTTGATATTTGTTGGTGTGAAAAAATGATTATTCTAGTGATACTTTCATTTGTTTTTGTGACTTAAAACCTTATTTGTTTCTGGAGCTGGTGCTGGTGGCTCTATTGCCCTTTGTTGATTTTATATTGTTTGCTGCATATGAGAGGCTGAAGTGTCCCTTTTTTTTGTGATGTATTTTGTTCATGTATTCATATATGCTGATTGTTTTGGTCAAAGAAGCTATTAGTAAATCTGGCTTGCAATGCATACTGAATGAGACTATCCATATTATTGACTGGCCAGCTGGGCATCTTAATTTTTGAGTTATTGTTGTATTTCCCTTGATTTAGAATTGCTATTACGATTCTTATGATCTGTAGTAGTTGAAGCATACCTGTATTGCCATACATTTAGGTTCCGGATGAAGCTGTTAGCAAATGCACATCATGTGGATCAGATTTTGGAGCTTTCAATCGCAGGGTGATGATTTTCATCTAATCAGTTTTCTTTTCAACCTTGTTTGATATCACAATTTTCCTTGTGATATAGCATGACAATTCCATTCTTTACTTTCAGCATCATTGCAGGAATTGTGGCGATATTTTCTGCGACAAGTGCACAAAGGGTAGAATTGCTCTCACTACAGAAGAAAATGCTCAGCAAGTCCGAGTTTGTGATAGATGCATGGTATATTGACTGGTTTATCCTTTACTTTTAACATCATTGCACAATTGGTTTTTGTACTTTTGATGATGTCATTTCTTACTCCTGAAAATTGATGCTTGTAGAGATATGCAGTTTTAAGTTTGAACTATGTCAGGTTGGTCTTCACTGATAATGTATATTAAATAGTGGTTCAAATTTAGGTGTCTGCATAACCTTTTGGGTTCAGGAGAAAGTTTTGGTTGTTGATATTCTGGAAGTCGAGATGATGTTGGTGAACCTTATTTAAGTCTTTTAAGATATTATATTTATAATGGGTCTTCTTCTAGCAGTAGGC